GCTGTTGAAATAAAGAAATAGGCCGAGCTCAGTGGCTCAGCCTATAATCCCAGCACCTTGGGAGGCCGAGATGAGTGGATTGCCTGATCCCACCGATTCGAGACCCACCCAGGCAACTTGGTGAGACCTCATCTCTACAATAAATCAAAAATTATCCAGGTGTAGTGCCGTGCACCTGTATTTCCAGCTACTTGGAAGGCTGAGGTGGAAGGATTACCAGAGACCAGGAGGTCGAGGCTACAGTGGCTGGGAGTGTGCCACCGCACTCCAGTCTGGGCAACAGAGTGAGACTCCAACTCAAAAAAAAAGGAAAGAAAAGAAATAAAGAAATACTAATAAAACAGTTTGGATTAGAAATTTAAGCATGTTTAATAAAAAGTGATATCTCAATAATGCCACTCTTAGGAAAATAATCAAGAGAACTAAATTAATGTCCATACACAAACTTTTGTACATGCTGCCATGGTTTAGATATCTGACTCTCCAAACCTCATGTTGAAATATGAACCCTAAAATTGAAGGTGGACCCTGGTAGGAGGTGTGTGAGCTACAGGGGTGAATCCCTTGTGAATGGCACAGTGCAGTTCTATTAATGAGTGAGTTCTCATACAATTAGTTACAGACAGAGCTGGTTGTTAAGCCTGATATCTCTTCCCATCTGGCTTCCTCTCTCTGCCATGTGATCTCTGCACATATCTGCCCCCATTTGCTTTTTGCCGTGAGGAGAGTCAGTCTGAGGTCCTCACCAGAAGCAGACATTGGCATCACACTTCTTGGACAGTCTGCGGAACAATAAGCCGAATAAACCTCCTTTCTTAATAAATTATTCAGCCTCAAGTACTCCTTTACAGCAACACAAACTAAGACACATGCATATTCATAACATTATCCAAAAAGCCAAAAGCTGAAGTCAAATATTCATCAACTGATAAACAAAATGTGATAAAATGATACAATGCAGTACTATTCAACAGTTTTTAAAAGATGAATTACTAATATATTTTGAGTGTATTAGTATGAATGTATTTGAATGAAAGTCAAAAAAACTCTAAGTAAAAGAAAACAGCAATAACATACATACATATTCTATATTTCCATTTCTATGAAATAGCCAGAAAAGAGAAATTTTAGACACAAGCAACAGATCAGTGGTTGTGAGGACATAGGAAGTAGGAACAGAGATTGTGTTAAACTGAGATTCATGAAATTTTGGGGTGATGGTAAAGTTCTAAAACTGATTATGGTAATGATTGTATAACTATAAATTTACTTAAAAAGCACTTAATTGGTCCTTTAGAATGAATGTATTTTATAGTGTGTAAAATACATTCCAATAAAGCTGTAAAAAAAATCAAGAAACGGGAGTATATGATAATTATTTTAAAATGTAAAGGTAAATGCCACAAATATAATAGCAAGAACTATGCTAGAGCTATGGTAGAAAAGATTCACCTCCTAACAGGCCCTACCTTCAATTTTAGGGATCACATTTCAACATAAGGTTTGGGGTTATTATTTTACTAAAAGTTCCTCGTACAGTTACTTAAAACTGCATGTAACTTCTATGCAAAGATGTATCACCTTAATAAAATAAAAATACTTTATAAAGTATTCTCTAAGGCTAAAAAAAATGTTTGGGGTATATATATATATGTGTGTGTGTGCATATATATACCAAAATTATCATTAGAGAATAAGAATAGCTCACTTCAACCTAATGGCTGCCTAGGGAGCAGGGAAGCCACTCGAGCTTTAGCTGTGAGCTCATCCTGGACAGCGGGCTCACGGTCCATAGGTGTTTCCTTGGGATGCCTTATGTTTCAGATATCCCTTGGTATGTATTAAATATGTCATAATAAAAAAATGGAAGAGAGTATTATTTTGAAACTGTCTTCAAAGCTACAAACAATGGATATGCAATATATAATGTATAATAAATCACAGCTCATTTATAGATCATCAAAAGTAAATGACAAAGCCTAACAAGGACAAAAGCAGTAAACACATTAATTCTAGGTATAATTTTAGCTACCATCTGCAAGCCAACCTTTGGGATGTATTATCTCTAATCCTCTTTTCAACTCTGCAAATATTATCCCCCATTTACACTTAACAAACTGAGGCTCTGAGAGGTTTTACTGCATTTGCCCAGAACCACACAACTTTTTAAGTGGGGAAGCTTTTTCTCAGTCTGTTTCCAATAGCTATGTGTTTTTAATAACGATGCTGCTCCATTAATAATTAACTAATATTTTGAAGTACTTTTATAATGCTTAGTAATTTGTGGAAGGACAAAATTAAGGACCAAGTTATAATCTTTGTAAAATACATAAATGACAATTCCATGTTTAATTCCAATACCTAAATAAACCTAACTTTCAAAATTACATACATTTGAAACTTCAGTGGACTACCTTAAGGAAGACAAAGTCCTATAAATATGTCAGTATAAGGAAATGCCCAAATAACACACTGAAAAGATACATTAATGATTTAAAATACTTTAATTCAACTTAGCCCATAAAAAAGTATTTCTCCCAGTTCTACTCTGCACAGTAAAACCCAGATAATTAATATATTTGCGCTGGGCATGGTGGCTCACGCCTGTGATCTCAGCAATTTGGAAGACTGAGGCGGGAGGACTGCTTGAGCCTGGGAGTTCAAGACCAGCTTAGACAATATAGCAAGACTCTCATCACCCCAAAAAATCAAAAGGATTAGGTAGGCACACACCTGTATTCCTAAGCTACCTGAGAGGCTTAAAATGGAAGGATCTCCTGAGCCCTGGAGTTAGAGGCTACAGTAAGCTATGATTGTGCTACTGCACTCTAGTCTGGGTAACAGAGTAAAACCCCGAATCAAAAAACAACAAATTATGTGTGTGTATGTATATATATATATGTGTGTGTTCATATGTGTGTGTGTGTGTGTGTGTGTGTGTGAGAGAGAGAGAGAGAGAGAGAGAGAGAGAGAGAGAGACTTTAAAAGGCTGAGTTGCAGCTAAGAACTTAGCCTAGGGATTAATAACGCATTAGAAAGTATGTTCCACAGAGAGCACTTTTATTTCAACTGCAAAGAAAGAAAAACAAAGATACCAAGATACTTCAAGTATTAAAAGGCAGAACTCTGACTTTCAGTCATTTATTTCGGCTACTTAAGTCATAAAAGGTTTAAAATCCAAAGCTAATCTCAGGTCATTTTTTTTTAAGTCTCATGACAATATCTCCTCTCCCACTAACCAGCATCACTACAAGACAGACAGCCTATCGGTAACATAATGGAAGTAAGCAAGCAGAGGCTAAATGTCAAAAATGAAAAATTAAAATAGCCTGTGAGCCAGCCATACCAAAGAAGAGAACAGCAATAACAATCCTCCTAGATTAGACAAGGGTAAATAGGCCCTTTTCATTCCTTTCTAACCCACATCTAAAAGGGATCTCTCTCAATTCCTTGACAACCAATCTCCCATATTCCAATATATCCAGAGGTTCTTTCCTCCCTTTTCCTTCTCCCATCATTTCTTCCCTTCATCCCATTTCTACCCAATAATGTACTGTTCTGTTGTCTGATATCTTTTCTTTCCAAATTCTCTGCTGCTCTCCCACCTCCCTCTCTCTTCTGTGTTTTCCCCCCATCTGTTTGCAGATCTGAGTTTCTGTCTAAGTGTGTGTGTGCATAACATATTCTGATTAATTAGGAGATTTTAGGATGAAATGGAAAAAAAATGAACAACTGAATTTGGCCCTCCAAAATTTTCCTAATATATCATTTGCACAACATATAACTATATCCTAGTAATGTTACCCCATCATTCATGAGAGTTGAAAAGGTTCGTTATTTATAAATGTATTTACTCACATAAAAATGAGTTTATAAACTATTAAATATATGAATCCATACAAAACTATCATTCCAATCAGTATTTCCCAATGCTTATTTCTTTTTTTTGAGTTGGAGTCTCACTCTGTCACCCAGACTGGAGTGCAGTGGCATGCTCCCAGCCACCGCAGCCTTGACCTGCTGGGCTCCGGTGGTCCTTCCACCTCGGCCTTCCAGGTAGCTGGAACTACAGGCGCGCACTACTATGCCCGGCTAATTTTTGATTTATGGTAGAGATGAGGTCTCGCCAAGTTGCCCAGGCGGGTCTCGAAACAGTGGGCTCAGGCAATTCACTCACCTCAGCCTCCCAAACCGCGGGATTACAGGCTGAGGCACCAAGCCCGCCTCCCAATGCTTATTTCTTAAAGCAATAGTTCCACAAGGTGTTCCACAGAAAAATAATCGTTTCATTATCAAGTCACAAAGCACAGCAGACACTTACAGAGTCTAAGTATTAAAATTAGGAAACATGCCTAATTTTATTATCAACCTGTTCCCAAACGTCTTAAACTAATAAACTCTTTTCCCCCCCAACATTTATTAATATCCCGCAGAACATGGAAATGTTCATTCTAACCACTGACTAAAATATACTATGCAAAATATTGTATTTACTCTTGTAGCATAATTTTTTAAATGCTGCTGCCTTTAGAAAAAACAAAAATCAATTTACAGAAGAAATAATTACCAAATTGCTAGGTGAAAATGACTCACTGAAAATACTACATGGTTCATTTACTAGGTTCATTTAAAAATTAAGCTGTAATCTTCAACTGTGATTTTGAGAGTGGGAGTGAGGGAGTAAAGAGCAAAGTTTTCCTTAAAGTCAAGTATAACACTTGGAATAGAATATTTTACAAACATTAAGATCCACAAACATTTTTATCTTTCCTTAATTAATTTTCATGTTTGATCTTTTCAAAGTAGAACAGAATGGGATTTTATGACTTACAAAATCCAATGAATACACAGGCAGACTATTATTAGACTTTTCTAAAGGAGTATTATATAATAATTAAAAATTTTTAATGAAAATGTGCCAATTTCCCCATTAAACTGTACTATGACTTATTTACTTCAAAGGTTTTAAAAAGCATATGTTAAAACACACACATTTTTACCTGAAAGCTCCGTAAAGTGGTCTGTACCAACAGACAAATGAACAAGGAGTAAAAAGCAAGAACCACAGGATACTCAAGCCAAAATCAACCGCTCTTGCAGAATCAACACAAAACCAAGCCAAGCATCCGAAGATATTTAGAAACAGTGTTACAGCATGGACTGTGGAATCAGAAAACAAATAGAAAAAGAAATGTTTACATCTAATTTACAAATTCATCCAACCAAAATTGTAAATGAAAAAAATACTTCCTAAGAGCAAATGTATTCTATCCCATGTTTCCATTTAGTGCTTTTCAAAACGCTGCTGCATCTTACACATTTGATTTGAAAACAGGGTAATAATCACCTGAGTTATCAAATGCTAACTGCCTAGAGCAAATTATACACTCTCTTTGTGAATGGTCCTGTAACGTATATGAACACATTTCTGGGTGCCTTAGAAGTTGTATTTTTCATGTGTGCTAATATGCAATATTTGTACATTGTGAGAAGCTGTTTTGAATAAAAAGGTTGAAACTTAAAAGAAAAAAGAAAAACGAAAACAGAGCATACACAGGAAAGAGAGTCCTAATACACACATTGTTTGGCAAAAATTCTGTTGACCCTCTTGTCTTATCACAACTAAGCCAGAGAAGCACTACTTCAAGGGCTTCTCTGAGACAGGAATATGTAATGCGTCTCTTGATCCAAGATCTAGGTAGAAAAGTAGGGCCTGCCAGGGAAAGAACCAGGACTTGGGAGGAAAAAGATCAGAACTATATTTTTAGAGAATAGGGCTGCACACTAAAAAGTGGACTAAAAATACTAACACAGTAGCCATTTCCAATGACTATATAGTCAATCTATAAGGATTATTAATTCATCTTCATAAAGATGTCTGTTTTTTAAGTCCTAAAAATTGTGTGCTGGTAGAGAATTAAACTTTTAAACCCCCACCTCACTCCCCGACACAAGAGGATGCATTTCAGCTGCTGTAGCAGGCCTTTCCTTTGGTTAACACAAATAGATCTTGGCAGACTCTTCATATGCTGTTAGTAACTGCTTTCCCTGACAGACCAAAAACAAAAAATCTGAGTAACATCTAACTACACTATGATTGTAAGGAAATACTTTGATCTATTATATTTAATAACTTTTTTAAAGGATGTTTTAAATCTATTCACAGGTTGAATTTATTAAAGGAAATACATTCTTATATAAGTTGAAAATGTTAAACGTAAACTATCAATACAATAAAAATATGCCAACAAATTACTTGCATTAAAATTAACAAATGAGAAAACCTATTGATTCTAAGAAAAAACATCTTGACATACATTAAAAACAAACTTTATCTCTTTATGAGTCAAAGTCAAATATAAATAATTAATGAAACGGGATAACACATATTCTAGGATGTTCTAACTTTGCTCTCATTTAACAACTAGCTAAACAAGCTACAGTAAAAGAAAGAGCTCCAGAGGAAAAGTGAAGACACTTAAGTTATAGTCATATAATACTGAGCCAGTCACAACCTCTGTGAGCTCCAATTTTTCAAGCTCTAGAAATGCAGGAGCTCTTCCAGCTTTAAAATTCTGTTCTTTTCTATCACAAAAGAGACACTCTCACTCATTACTCTATTTCCATTAGGATTTTTAATACTTATGAAAGCTAGTTTACTCAAAATTTGTTGCCTCAAAATAAGGGTAGTTAAAAGCTTAAAAACAGAATTCAAAAGACGAAATAGAAAATTATTATTCTGCTTCATTAAATGGTACCCAGTTACCTTAAAAAGTTTTAGATCATAAGAACATTTTAATTTAAATTTCCATCTCCAGGAGAATAACTTTTAAAGGGTTATCTCGTAATCCACTTAAAGAAAGAGGGAAGGCTGGACGCAGTGGTTCACATCTATAATCCCAGTACTTTGGGAGGCTGAGGTAAGAGGATTGCCTGAGCTCATGAGTTCAAGACCAGCCTGGGCAACTTGGTGAGACATCATCTCTACAGTAAATCAAAAAATTAGCCAGTCGTGGTGGCATGCGTCTATAGTTCCAGCTACTTGGAAGGCTGAGGCGGAAGGATCGCCTGAGACCAGCAGGATGAGGTTGCAGTGGCCATAAGCATGCCACTGCACTCCAGCCTGGGTGACAGTGAGACTCCAACTCAGAAAGAAAAAAAAGAGAAAGACAAAATAAATCTATAGGTATGTTTTGAAGTATATAAACATTTTTCCACCTATAGATAAAAATAGTTTAATTTTGTGTAATAAAAATTTTTTCTTAATGTTTTTATAGTGATGAACAACTATGATTAATAAGTCATTTACTTGTACCCCAATGAAGACTAAAATGTCCACGACCAATTACTGAACAATCTGTCCACTTATGCAGAGTCCAAAAAACACGTAAAAGTCAAGGCTAATGTGAAATACATGATACACTGCATTTTCATGCTGCAATGCTGCTAATTTCAATCCAAGTGAGTGACGAATCTATGTTGGTGGACATAATTTGCAAGCTGAACAATTCTCCTTCATATAAAATTTCAATTTCCTTCATTAAACACTCAAATCTAGGACTAGTAGACCTAAATGTGCAATTATCACTACAATATTCTTCTTATAAGTTCTAAACAATCCCTACACTTAACAGAATTCTCCTCTGCATAAAAACAGTATGCATAATATTTTCAAAGCAAATCATGCCTAGATAAAAGCCTTCAAAGAAAAGGAATCTTACAAAACCAAGAGAAGTTGTCCTTTCCTTAAAAGAATGTCAGTTCTCAATATATAGGTTTTTCTCAGCTTACACTGTCACATATAGTACAATTTTGAAGTACCTAAATATGACATATTTCACTCTGAAAATCGTGATTATTAAGATCTATCTATAGAAAAATTAGACTGATTTACTACACTACCCTTAATATAAAAAGAGAGTCTCACAACAAAAATCTGAACTGTAAACAAACATATAATTTGTTCTATACTCACACATCCACAAGTAGTACATAAGCTTTACTGTCTTTTGGAATTCTACAGGAATGTCTACAGAAAAATCCTGATAGAAACAAGGTCCCACAGGAAAATTGCTAGGAAGAGGTGGCCAATTATTTTTTCTGCCTGCAAATTAAAAAAAAAATTGTTATATTACAACAAATGTGATACTCATATATTTTTGGTTTCATAAAAAAGAACCCTATCTATTATTTTAACAGAGGTTACAAAAAAATGTAATCCAAATATCTCTATATTCCTAGAAATTTAAAGCCAACTTTCATATTTTTAAAATTTTTCTCAAATATTACCATAGAAAACATTAGATTAGTTTAGATGATAAAATAATTTGTCAGTGTCATAGATCATGTTTAACAGAAACTATTTATCTATTTACATATAGAAAAGACAAGAAACAAAAGAAAGTACAGGGCCATACCATCTGATTCTGCCCTTAAAACAGATTTATTCACAGTCCCAAGAGCATGGCTATCATGAAAAGGCAATCTAGTTTTTAAACTTCAATTTCTTCCTCAGCATCTTAAATCTTTAAATACAATTCTATTATAATTCCAAACCCAGGTGGAAAGACAAGCTTCTGCATACTTCAAATTTTCTGTTAACTCCATGAAGAAACACAAGATTAACCCAATACCAAAGCACCAAATTTGGAAATCTCAAAGTCTGTGTAAAAATAATAACATCCAAAAGACCCAGGTGAAAATCTGTAAAACTGTGTGTGAGAAGACATGACACAGTCATGGGGAAAGAGCTAAGGAATTATAGAATCTTCAAAAACCTAAAGAATAAAAAATCCAAGCCATGAGGGGAGAAAATTATGTCTATATAAAGAAATTAGATTGAAAATAAGACATGGGTCCAGTGCGGTGGCTCACACCTATAAATCCCAGTACTCTGGGAGGCATAGGTAAGAGAACTGCCTGAGCCCAAGGGTCAAGACCAGCCTGGGCAACTTGTAGAGACCTCATCTCTACAATAAATAAAAAAATCAGCCAGGTATGGTCAGTGGTTCCAGCTACTTAGAAGGTTGAGGCAGAAGGACTGCCTGAGTCCAGCAGGTCGAGGCTGCAGTAGCCTTGAATGTGTCACTGCACTCCAGCCTGGGCAACAGAGTAAGAATCCAGCTCAAAAAAATAAAAAATAAAATGAGACTTGGGAAATGGTGGGAGGGAAAACAAAAATAAAGCAAGAAGTCAAAACAAAAATATAGGGTAAAAATAGCACCATTTTCTAATTTTAGATGTTATATCCCACAACTTTTAAAAATTCAATTTTACATACTTTTACTGATCAGGATAATTTTCACAGTGGAAGAAAGAATGACCATTTTTTATTCTTCCCAATGTGTCTCCTCTGCTACATTTATCATACTATCCAAATTTCATATAGCGCCTACATTTCTCATACCAGTATCATACTATCTGAGAAGCAGCAGAGAATAATAGTAAAGACTAGAGGTTCTGCAGCCAGGCATGATGGCTCACACCTGTAACCCCAGCACTTTGGAAGGCTGAGGTGGGAGGACTGCTTGAGCCCAGGAATTCAAACCAACTTAGGTAATATAGTGAGGCCTCATCTCTTAAAAAAACCAAAAAATCAAAAAATCAATCAGGCACGCTAGTACACGCCTGTAATCACAGCTACTCAGGAGGCTGAGGCAGTAGGAACGCCGAGCCCAAGAGGTCAAGGTTGCAGTGAGCCATGATCAAGCCACTGTACTCCAGCCTGGGTGACAGAGTGAGACCTGACTTGAAAGAAAGAAAAAAGAATAGAGGCTCTAGACTCCAGGAGTGCTTAGCCACTGACTGGCTAGGTGGCCTCAGGCAACTGAATCTCTCAGGGCCTTAGTTTCTACACCTGTAAAAGAAGAGTAACTACTACACCACCCTTCACAGGACTGTACTGAGGATTGTGAGTTGAGGTAAAAAGTATTAAAATATACTAACATACTGCAATCTAACTTAATTTCATACTGCAATCGAACTTAACTCTTCATTACCACCTTCACTAACAGAAATAATTTGTATTAGTCAGTGCTAAAGAAATAGGTCAGATTTTAGTTGCAGGTAGTTCATAACTATTTGATCCCAATTAAATCTTGACTTCCTCCTACTATAGATGCTCTTTGATGCTGCAAGCAAGGAAATGACTCAGCATACACATGTCCTCATGAGGCCCTAGACTTACACATTCTTAGATAAGAAAGAAAGAGTTCTGTATATTACTGTTGTTCTAGACTTGCATTCCACCATTATCCCAGGCATCTTACCAATGACTTATCTAGCTCTCTTATCTTTTTTACCCAGAGACTGCTAGCTTTCCCCAAGAGACTCCCTTGAAGTGATGTTTGGTAGTCACAGCCTGAATAGATTTCACAGCAAACAATTCAGCATTTATTTGTTTCTTTGGCATTACATAAATACCTTAGGCTTCCAAGAGTCACCACAAACATATTTTTCTAACATGTTCTGACAAATATGATGTACTTGTAAGGACTGGGACAGATAATCTGAAACTGGCCTGAATAAATCAGATAAGCATCAATTGTAGGGTACACCCAAATGTTCACACTAAGATTCTGTAAAACCAAAAAGAACTCAGGTGCAGAATCAAAGGCTCCTGGCCTTAGAATAAGCCAAAATTATCATATTTATATTCACTTTCTATGTTTTCTAATCTCTCCAAAGACTATGCAAATCAGCCAAGATCAGAGAGCTACCGAATATTAAGTAAGCAATCTGCTGTGTCTGATCTCCCCTAGAGGGCAGGGTTTTAATCCACAAACCAAATGACCTAGGAGCTAGTACAGACATAATTTAAAGTGTCTGAAAGTTATTTTTATTTCAAACTTCTTTGGATACGACCGTGTTGACTGAGGTTTTGCATTTCTCGTTCTCGACGATCTAATTCTGCAGCTTTTCTTTCTAGTTCTTCCTGGCGCTTAAGAAGTTCAGCTTGGGCCAGTGCATGTTCCTAAAACAAAAAAATATCAATACAGGATGAATTGGTTTTCAGAAGTGCAAAATACTTTAATTTTTACATGCTATCTCCTATTTCTCTAATACGACAGAAACCTAATTCAAATGAGCTTTCAAAACACAGGAATTTACTGAAGATAACAGTTTCAGAAAATATTCTGGGGTTACATATGCAGCCCATTTTGGTCCTCTGGTAATGAAAATCCTCAGTGGGAATGCTGGGTCCATTAGGTCAAGAAAAACCTCTCTTAGTAAACATAGTCAGAGTCCCAAGGTAATCTGGAAAATAAAATTAAGGTGACCTCTGCACCTAAATGAGAGTGATGAACAGAGACAACAGGAACAGTTGAGGAAAACCGACAAAAAGAAAGAAGGGCAACTGAACTGGCGCCTATATATCACATTAAAAGATATATCTCAGCTGGTCTCGGAGGCTCAGCCTGTAATCCCGCAGCTTGGGAGGTTGAGGTGAGTGAATTGCCTGAGCCCGAGGGTTCAAGACCCGCCTGGGCAACTTGGCGAGACCTCATCTCTACAATAAATCAAAAAATTAGCCGGGTGTGGTAGCGCACGCCTGTAGTTCCAGCTACTCGGAAGGCTGAGGCAGAAGGATCACGGGAGCCCAGTAGGTTGAGGCTGCAGTGGCCAGGAGGGCCACTGCACTCCAGTCTGGGCGACAGAGTGAGACTCCAACTCAAAAAAAAAAAAAAAAGATATATCTCAGTGCAAGAATATTTTATAATATTTTAAATGTTGTAAGAGAATGGGGTAAAAGAAGGAGATGGTTAAGAAATTCTGCTTTATAACTCCATTTGGCCTTATACAATCCCAGGCATCGCATTCACCTCCTTTTTTCTCAGATTTTTGTCACCTTCTACCTCCACCACCGTCCGTTGCTTTGTCATTGGAACTCTCTCCCAATAATAGCTATTATTCCATCACTGTTACCTTCATCGTACTATGCATTAAAAAGTGAGACCAAAGAAAACAAAAAATTTCACTATCCAAATTGTACACCAAAGTGATATATGAATTCGTCCTAATAATTACATACTCTTAATAACGGACTAAAACAAATGTTATAAGCTGACAAAGAGGTATGAGTATTTATAGTGTGACAAAATAAAGAACCCAGACCCAAAAGTGAGTTAAAGATTAAACAGTAGCAGCACTATAGAATTATTTTGCTCTGAAAGCAAATGTTCATATTGTCATTTCCAATATGAATTTACATAGCACACATGAACTAACCTTTGCAATCTGTGTATAAGCTGGATGTTCCTCTGTTGGTTTCATTATTGCTGGCTGTGTATTAGGTACATTAGGCATCTTCACACTACCTGGTGGAGGCTAGGAAGATTAACAGAAGAACGAATTACGTAACACAGAGATCCAACTTTAACTTATAGCACCAATAAAACTCCAGATCCCAAGATCTGCCTCTCTTCCTCCCCTGCCCTCTCAGGTCAAGTGTGGCAAAGAGCTACTTAAGTTCTCTAACTCCATCTCTCAAACTCATTCATTTCTCAACTCTACATTGTGGCGGCTGCCTTTAACACGACATCTCAAACTCTCTCACTGAGAATACCGCATGTAAAAACAAACAAACAGACTTTTAAGTATTTCTTCATAGTAAAATAGCACCAGACTAAAGAACTATACCAGGGTTTACTGCCAACTTTTCCCTCTTAAGGAAGCTACATGCCAAGATCTGAAAAATATATAGGAAAGTTCTTGGTAGAACCCCACTAAAATAACATGGGAGACATAGGTAGATGGAAAATAAACAGCACAACCTCCACTTTGCAAATGAGGACTAGCAGCGTTTGAGCATTTGAAAGCTACAAGATCAAAGAGTAGGTAGATATCTACAAGTCCATAAATGGGGAATCACAGTGTGTGTGTGTGTGTGTGTGTGTGTGTGTGCGCGCGCGCGCGCGCGCGCGCGCAACACAGTCATCAAAAGGAATAGTTAGAGCTATAGAAGAACGTCTTTTAAAATACTGAATGGAATAACACAAGCTACAGAACAGTATGCATATAACCTAATTTATACATGCTCCAAAAAAGCATCTGGAAGAACTCAGTAAAGTGGTATCAGAGGGACCTGCTTTTTTTCTCTTACTTTATAACACTTCTTTATTATTTGCCTCCCTCAAAGCAATCATGATATACTACTTTAAGTTAATACATATATACTTAAAGTAGTCTTTAGAATGGCCATAAGAAAAAGAAGAAAAAAGAATGGGAAAATGGGAAGCCAGGAAGACAGAAACAAAAAAAGGAGGGAAAGAGAGGGAAGATGGAGAGAGGGGGGAAGAGGGAGAGAAGGAGGGAAGGAATAAGATATAAGAAAGAAAGAAGCTGCAAAAGGCAGTTCAAGGATAAGAAGAACTATTAAAGCCAGAAGATACCACCAATAAAGCTGAATTTTACCCTGACATAGCCCTAAAAGAGAAGCCACACATAACCAAAGCAGCCCTAAAAAGCAGCCACACATAATAGCTGCCCTAAGAGAGAAGCCACACATGACCAAAGATATAATATTCTAAAATTATTATGGAAAAATCAAGGACTTCCTAGGAACAAACAATTCTGAATAAAAATGAGATAGGGAGATATATTAAGGCTTATCATAAGGCTACAATAATTAAGAGTGTTGTACAGATGCAAGGACAGAGAAATATACCAACATACAAAACAGGCACAGAAACAAACCCCACGCAAATGCATAAATTTGATACCCAACGGAGATGGCACAACAAAGTTGTGAAGAAAAAAGTGCATTAGTCAATAAATGGTACTGGGATAACTGGCTACTCATAGAAAAAAACCTAGAATTCTTATTTCACATTATATACAAAAATAAATTCCAGATGGATTAATGACCTTCAAGTGAAAAAAGCAAAACTTAAACATATTTAGGAAAAATAATAGGTGAATATTTTTATGAACTCAGGTTAAGAGTTTCACAAGTGTGAGCTATAGAAATATTTATTTGTTTATGATATATCAACTATCTAAAACAGTAGCTAAAACACAGAAGGTGCTAACATAAGTATTTGTCTAATTAATTAAGATTAGGGGAAAAAAAACCATAAAAATAAAGATTGACAAATTCAACTACATTGCAATTTAACAACAAAGCGAAAAGTCAAATCACAGACTCAGGAAAATCAGTTGTAATGCACATACCATAAAATTGCTACCCAGAATATATAAAGAATTATTACAAATTCATAAAAATTCAAACTAATAGAAAAATAAGCAAAAGATAAGAACAAACAATACAAGGAAAACAGAAATGGCTAATAAACATACGAAAAGATGTTCAATCTCATTAGTAATCAAGAAGTACAAAAACAATGATATACCATTTCAAAACCATGAGATAGAAAAATGTAAACTTTGACAATACCAACATTTGAACTTACTCAATATACACAATAATGGTATATGTGAAAATCAAAGTGCTGACCAAAACAGCATTTCAAATCAGTGGAAATACAATTATCACTATAAGAAAGGGACTGGCAGTAGTGGGATACTACCGGGGTTGGGGGAGGGGAGGTGGGGAACACAACAACAATAAGGGAACCTGATCTCAATTCAGACAAAGGGCAGACCAAAGGGAGGTCCGAACTTTACCTGTACAATGACCACTTGTATACCTAATCCTGAATTGTAGCCCACATCTTGAAAATAAAATAAATAATAATTTTTTTTTTAAAAAAAGAAAGAAACAGAACTATCAACAAATGTTGCAGGAACAATTATTTCAATTTGAGGAAAAAAATCAAATCCCTGCAACTTAACAGAATTCCAGGTGGATTAAAAAAACTATAAAGATACTAAAATATAGTAAAGACTGTAGATGACTATCTGATCCTAAGGTCGAAAAAAGGCACTCTGAACATTCAGAAGGGATAAGGGGAGATAAATCATAATGAAAAAAATAGTATGGGAGGGGCATACTTCATCAATAAGGATACCTGATATCAAACCAGGTGAACCAGGCACCAAAGTGAGGCCCAAACTTTACCTGTACAGTGACCATTTGTATACTTAACCCTTTAAAATAAAATCTTTTTTATTTTATTTTAAACATATCTTTAAAATAAAAACTTTTTTAAAAAAGAAAAAATAATATATTTGACTACATAAAAATTCAGGCCGGGCTCGGTGGCTCAGCCTGTAATCCCACACCTTTGGGAGGCTGAGGTGAGTGGATTGCCTGAGCCCACGGGTTCGAGACCCACCTGGGCAGCAAGACTTCATCTCTACAATAAATCAAAAATCAGCCGGGCGTGGTAGTGCATGCCTGTAATTCCGGCTACTTGGAAGGCTGAGGCGGAAGGATTGCCGGAGCCCAGCAGGCCGAGGCTGCGGTGGCCGGGAGTGGCCACTGCGCTCCAGTCTAGGCGACTGAGTGAGACTCTGACTCAAAAAAAAAATTGAGAATTTTAATGATAAAAAGCATTTCATAATCAAGACTGGCAAAATATAACCATAAATACAATTAATTAGTTAATACATTATATGCAAATCAATAAATAGACAAACATTTTTGAAAAAAATGCATTTTTAAAAATTCTTAACAGGTAGCTTATAAAATACAAAAGCAAAATAAACACATTAAGGCCGGGAGCGTGCCACTGCCCTCCAGTCTGGGCGACACAGTGAGACTCCAACACAAAAAAAAAAAAAAATTCAAACTGGCAACCCCCAGGGGTCCCCTCCTGCTCTGGAAACTCTTCTGTCCTCTCAATAAATCGTACTTTCAAAAAAAAAAAAAAATTCAAACTAATCAGTAATCAAAGAAATGCAAATCTCACCTAATTATTTTTAAAATTATTATTACCATAAGATTACTACCACATTTGGGAAAGATGTGGTAAAATAGATATTCTCTCACACACTGAAAGTGAGATTATAAACTAGCATGCATAACAATCCTGGAGTACAACTTGGCATTATGTATCAAGAGCCACAGAAGCAGTTATAATCCATGTCCCGTGAATAGCTGGTCTTTACATTATCCTACAAAAATAATCCAAGATATTTACAAATGTATGTGTGTCAAGAATGTTCACTATAGCCTTATCTATAAAAACAAAGAGTTACACATAACCCAAATGTCCAATGACAAGAAAATGGTTACATAAATTATGGTACATCCACAGTAGAGTATATTATACAGCTATATAAAAGTGCTATAAATTATTTTTAATTTTTTAAAATTGCAAACCCTCACTTGTACTCCACAACTCTAAAATAAAAATAAAATTTTAAAAGTGAGTTCTAGGCCAAGCTCAGTGGCTCAGCCAGTAATCCCATGCTTTGGGAGGCCAAGGTGAGTGAATTGCCTGAGCCCGCAGGTTCGAGACCTGCCTGGGCAATTTGGTGAGACCTTATCTCTACAACAAATCCAAAAAAAAAAAAAAATTAGCCGGGTGTGGTAGTACGCGCCTGTAGACTCCAACTCAAGAAAAAAAAAAAAATGAGTTCTAAAAAAGAACTTCATTAATAAAATGAAGAAGGTTGGACAAGCAATAAGTGACAAGGGAAAGTTATAAAACAAACCCGTATATGCAATATAAACCCAATGTTATATTTTAAAATACGATGAAAATAGATCAAAATGTTAACACTGATTATTTCAGGATAGTGAGATTAAGCACACTTTCTTATATTTCTTTATCGCCACTATAATCTTTTGTTAGCAAAAGAATCAGTTCTCTGTTTCAAGCCTATTCCCTCCACCCAATATCTCATATTACTAGGCAGCAAAACTGAAGCTAATTAGTCCTAACTATTCCCCAATTAGAAAAGCATGGTCCTAAACCCGGTGTGGTGGCTCATGCCTGTTAATCCCAACACTTTGGGATGCAGAGACAAGAGTCCTGAGCCTAGAAGTTTGAGATCAGTTGGACAAGCAGCCAGATGTGGTGGTGTGCACCTGTGGTTCCAGTTACTTGGAAGGCTGAGGCAAAAGGATCAGCTGAGCCCAGCAGGTAAAGGCTGTGGTGGCTGTGAACCTGCCACTGCACTCCAGCCGGGGTGAGAGAGTGAGACTCCGATTAAAAAAAGAAAAGAAAAGAAAAGGAAAACCTGGTCCTAACATCCCACCTTCTTGGTTTAATAAGCAGCAACAACAAAACAAAGACCAAAACAATGCCTGGCAAAGTTAGCTTGGCAGTACACTCCAAATAAAACGAAATTACCCAAGAATTCACCCAGTTGAAACATTACTATAAATGGTTTATACTATAAATTACTTTAAATAACAAATAAAGTATTCAGTACATTAAATTAAGTAAATAAGGATAAAGGTATGACTAGTAATTTGA